TCTTCTTTTCTAGAGGTTTTGAGGCTACGTGTCTCATAACATGTCAGCAACTCAGTGGGAGAGGGAGGGAGGGAGGGAGAGAGAGACAGACAGACAGAGAAAGGTTACCAAACAAAATTAATAAACTCCTTCATGTCAGCTTTCAATGAAAAAAGACAGATAGGGCCCCAATTATTCAGTCATGTGCTCACATTCCCAAACACACACACACACATACAATGACAGTGATGTTAGGAGATTCTACTGCTGCATCGACTACAAAGAAAAGAGTATTGTGAATGGAGCACACTATAACAGGAGCATATGTCACAGCAAAAATCAATTTTCAAATGTAATTGAAAAACTGTTATGCAAGGGAGCTGGCTTAGGAGAGGGAGACCTGTGATAGAGACAATGAAAAACCAGGTAGCATTTTCAAGAGGCTTCCAGTCATGATTATACAGAGCAATTCATGCTTCTGAAGAAGCTTCATAAAATCTACAATAACATATCTTTCTGCATTATCTTTATCAAAATTACACTATCCATTGCACGAAAGCAAAAATATACGCTGAGAATCCTGTTTTCTTCTAGTCTACAAAATGGAAAAGGAAATGTGATAGGATAGATAGAGACAGACTTCTCAGGTACTTCCTCCTCCTATATTCATAAATACTGGCCTTCTTTATTTTCTAAAGCGTATTTTACACATGATTTGAGTTGTGATCCCCCCCCCAGCAGAATAGTATGGCCGCCATTTGGGGGCAAGGATTATCACTAATACTGAGCCTTTGATGGACCACATCAACCTAGGAGCCTTATTTATTTGTTTGTTTGTTTGTTTGTTTGTTTGTTTGTTTGTATGTTTGTTTGTTTAATACCCCGCCCATCTGGCCTATAAGACCACTCTAGGCGGCTATGCATTCCCTGCCCAATACTTTTACAGCAGGAACAGTAACTGTGAAAAGTCATTACCAAGCATGAAACCCTACACTGATTCCCATAGTTTGCCACTTGCGTCAATAATACCACTGTTATCTTGTAGACTGAAGATTAAAATTATTCAGAATCTGATAGCGTTTTACTAATGAACCATTTGTCATTTTGACTATGTCATGGAGCCATGCATAAAATACTGTAGAGTCTCACCCTTATGTCTGAGGAAATAGACTTATTCCATTAAAGTTCATATTAAAAGTCAGCATTTAGTCTTTAAATTGTCACAATGTGGTTTTTTTTACTGTTTTGC